GTACACGTAGCGTGATTGTGCAGGTTCAACGGAGCAATGTTGCTTCTAAGTGATAGAGGGGTCGGTTGTTTAATAATAAAATTAAAGGTTTAACAAGCAAACAATTTTTTTTTTTTTATAGAATTTTTTATACAAAACTACAAAACTAGTAGGACATGTGTGTCCTGTGAGTGCCTCAACAATAGTAATGCACTCAAAAGGAGTGAAATTAGCCGTTTTTAGATCACAGAACGCATCATTTAAAGAGGCAAGTCCGAAACTATACATATGTTTACGTAAAGACGCATGTACATTAAAAAGTATCAAATAAAATTTAGGTCATGAAGTCCGATTAGTTACTTAAAGACTGCGCGGATGCTTGCTATATCATTGTCTAGTGAAACTGGAAACACTGAGGTTTCTTTCACGTTTTTCGTTTTATGTTCCAGCTCGCAAAAAACAGCGAAGAAGATATTACCCTGCGTGCATACGGCTTATCATCATTAAGTAAAGAAAAATTTTTTGTCGCTATGCCACACCTGTGCGAAGTCCTATTGCTACATGATAGGCGTCTCTGTAAAAAAAAAAAACTTTGTTAAATTGTATATATTGTCATATCCTTTTGGTGCCAGCAACATAAAAAGTTGCATTGTTAATGCATCCCCATATTAAATGCGAGGTTCTATGCCCATGCTTCGATCGTATGTCGTGGCACAGTGTTTACCCTACTGTGCTGAAAAGGTTCTCATAAGTCTTTTTCCACATTGTTTATCTATAGCATAGGTTGGCGGAAATATATTTTAGGAAAGTATACACTGTTCACCTGGAAACTTGCCGTCTTTTAGCTTTAAGGCTACATTGCTTCGTCGGCCTAAAGCAGCATTTAAGCTTTGCACGTCGAAACGTCGAGTAAGTCTTCATTTACGTTGCCAAATAAAACTTATCTCTGTGCGATAATTGCAGCCAATTTTTGACTTCTTATTTGCAGGGTAAAGTCTAGAAAATTGGCAAAAAGATCTAAATGAAGAAAATCGAATGCTTCAGGCACACGTGCGAGTGGAGGCATATGGTGCAGAAGCTTGTAGAAAGAGGCACGATCACTTTGATGCTTGTTAAGGGCTAAAGTAGGACATTAAATGCACAGTGTTGTGGACATTGCCAAATACGTTTTCGGCTTATTGTCTGTTTTCAACCATTTGATTTGCAGCTAAATTATTCGCTATCCGCTTGGTTCATTGAGGACCATTGAATCGTATCTGATCGCCAGCGTACAAATCTGGAAGGAGTAACTCTCATGAAGTCAAAGAGCCAATTTGGCAGCAGTATGTGAGGGTCGTGGCAAGCACAAGTTGCGCCGACTTTGCTACTGACACAATTTCTGACAATCCCTCCCGCTTCGAGGAAGCAGTAAGGCAAAGAGAAGTGACGAGCAACAGAATAGTAGAGGCAGCGGACAAGTTTGCCAAGAGGCCCACGAGGAGTGGCGAGAATGCATGAAAAGTCAGGTCACGCCCAACCTCAAACTCGCACTCCTTCAATCTTGTCAGGACATGAGGTTACGAAAAAGTGAAAATAGCAGAGTTCATGTACTACGCTGCCAAGAGATTGATGTTGTTACAACTTCGGCAACGAAGATTCATGAAGCGATAAATTTCCACGGAGGTGGTAAACAGGACATCGTGTTATTTTGGTGCAGCGTGTTCTTATTGTACATAGAGGGTGTACGGAATGTCACTGATATCTGCTTTGCGTCTATAACGCGGAAACTGTGTTTAATGATCAAGTCGTAGTACACGAACATATTACTAATAATTCAACGATTCAACCAAATCATAAACGCCATTGATGAGAAATTGTAATACGCATCAAAGTGTGTAATACGTAGAGATTTAAATATTACCTGGTAGGATTTGTGCTATATATTATATCCACAAGAGGCAAGGTGTATTTTTGACGCAAAAGAATACATTTTTGTGGTTAAACGTCGCGTTGCATTTAGAACTAGAAGTTAAACTATAGCGATGCAACGTTGATCTAATTAATCTAACTAACTTGGTTTTAAAGCTTTTAAAGTTCGCTTTCTTCTTTGTCCACACATCCGGAATGATGGATTGAAGAGGATCAGACCGATCATTGAATATAATAGCCTAGACAGAACTAACCTTTATGTACCCTATATGCAATCGAAAAAAAACTCGAATTAAACAATCGTCTTCATTACAGATATGCGTATGCTTCTCTCAACGGGTTCGCCATTGTTTTGGCTGCACGTACCTCCCTTTGTAGCCAAGCGTTTCACTTAGCTAAACCGTATTATGCGTATGCGTTGCGTATTTACCTACTTCTGCTATCATGGCGCATTCGCGCCTCGTGTTGCTTGTCTGTACAATGATTGCTTCGAATCATATATTCTGACAATAGATTAGTGAAAGGATAGGAGCCCCAGAAGGACAGTGCACAGTGTGAGAAGCAAACGCAGACACTAAAAAACCACTGATTTCATTTACTGTTTTTAACGTCGTACAATTTGTACCTATATGAACAGGAGAAGGAGAAGGGTGACTGTAAAAATCATACATTGCTCATGGCCCGTTCTATGCAGATCCTATGTTCCTCCGGTTCTTCTGGTTCTTCATCCGCTCGGCCGATTTGCTAAGAGCACCAGATAAAGGTTAGAAATTTTCACTCCGCTTTGGGGGGACCTACCTTTGAGGGGCAAGTATACGCAAACAGCGCTAAAGTGCTTCTGCGTAGGGCATGCTTCGCATGCGAATGAACGCCTTGATTCGGTAAATATGGCCGCGGTACGTTCAAGATAATTGCTATCAATGATTTTCAACAAGCAGTGTAACTATCTATTCCATTAAGTTGAATTTAATTACCATAACTGTTTAATTTGTTATATAACTGTTCTTATTGTGTTTGCATTTCGATCTCCTGGCCCAGGTTTAACGACGAAGCATACATCTAACTCAAAACATTTGTTTGAACTTGAGCTTAAAAATAACGGGGCAGATATCTGTGAACGTTTATAATTCTATCTGGTTTTCGTAGGCCGTAACCTTAAAGGTTATGTGAGCTAAATTGGATTCTGTACGCGAACTTCAAGCCGTCAGTTTTACGAACGTTTTATAATATTCCATCTCCTCCGTTTGTCTCTCTCGTAGCAAATAAGCAGCACAGGTAGCGAGTTTCGGGGGTTTGAAGCACTTTGCTGATTGTGTCTTACTAGATAAAACCGAGCACCAGTAGGTAGTACAGGCAGAAGGATTAGCTTTTATAACTTAGTCAAATTATTACGACTGAAACGATTGCTTAGGCAGACAGCTTGAAGCAATATTGCAAAGCTTAAACAAATTAACGAAGTTAGGTACTTTGATGAGATAACTACTACGGTTCATCTCTTATGATTGCAGTGCTAAAGGAAACAAGACAATAAACTATACAAGGCACAACAGAAGAAGGTTTACAGCGTAAAGTGGGTGGTGAAAAAAACCCACTCTTAGTTGCTATCTAACCTAAGTATTTCCTCACAGTAGACTTCTTTAGACCAAAGCTAATTCGAGTAGTATTAATCAATGCTTCGTTTGTCAATTGCCATCATAATCGATCTACATTAACATTACGTGAAATTGATGCTTACCCTTTCGCTGTCTGCAATATTACCGTTGATCTGACTATTGAACTGCTTGAGCTATAGCTCAGTTTGTCCTATGGAAAATACGCAATTTGACATTTGTAATACCAAAGGTGTTGGCAGTATTGAAGCTCTATTCAGATCTTGTCTTACATGGACTTGTACATTCGCTTGGGATATATCTTAAATTGGTCTCTTTCGGCATATAAGAAGACATTGAATCGTAGGCCTAATCTCGAAGTTTTTTTAACTTTAAGCGAGATTATCTTCTATTCTAAAGTACTGGCGTATTCCATATGTAGAGTGGCAGCGAGGTCGAAATCTAAATACTTAATAAGCTTGTATGTTCAATCTGAATTCGTTGTCATGGAAGCCACGAATCACGAACCATCCTATGCCCACAGCACTGTGGATGGTCAGAGATAAAGGTTGGGGGCAAGAAACAGGTACATAACTATACATTGGTTGCTATGCTATACAGATTTACATATTTCCGTTTAGATCTTCTGTAGAGAAGCTTGGGCCAGTTTAACAAGACTCCTCCAAACAAGTCTTTAATGCCTAACGTGTACATTGTTACTCAATATACTATCTAGGCAATTCGAGAAATTCAGTTTGCGCGGGACTTGACTACTTCGCTTCCTGGAGCTCGCCAGTATATAGCTATAAAGTAGCTAGCTTTAACTACATACACATTGTTCGAGTGGCTTAAAGACAACACTACCTTTCCCGTAAGACAGAATACTTACTTATTGGATAAGGTTATTGGAATAATACCTTTGACATCTATTGGAAACCAATAGATTCTTGTATGGATCACTCTGCGTTTTCCAGAGTACGAGAGGACTAGATTTTTTGCGGAGGATAAGCTTTTTGTTTGCATTCGCACGTGCCTTTAACGGTCAAAGTAAAACATTTCGCAGTATTTAATCAAACTGTGGATCACTAAAAAAATGGCCACTTAGGATATATCTAGCCGGATAATAGAACAGCTCATTTCGACTGACATAAGATAAAATAGCTGGACAGCGGCAGAAGCTTGCAGACGGTGAAATCATAAAACTCATTACAGCACGACGCAGAATTTGGCTTCAAAGTCAAAGTAATTTTACAATGGAATTTTCTGTGACAAGATAAACGCAGCTAAAACAAAGCTTGTTTAATACCGGTCGAATTATCAATGGAGGCTTCCGACATCGTTTCGAGAGTTTTACCCTTCTGCTAATCATCATCATCTGAATCCGCTAAATGATTTCGAACATTTTCATTCGATTTAATTTTGAAGTATCGGTAAGTCAGTTGTATTGACTCATAGCATCGATCAGGGTACTTCTAGCTAGAAAAAGATGAAAAAATCACGCCGCATGTATGACAATGTGTTTATTTGAACAGGTGATGTGGATCATATGTACACGAACTTTTATAATTGACAACTAGGGAATTTTAAATATTGCGCTCAAATATGTGCTCTTAAATTTGTTATAAATATACAGCACTTCTCATTATATAACACTTGCAACACATCGTAACTTCACAGGCATAGTCACTTATTGGAATTATATAGTACGCTTTTTGTGAGTTACAGTAACTCTTTGTCCAGATCCTCCAGGGTAACAGGCTCGATGTATTTGGGGTTAACTGCAAAAAAAAAAACGATGGCATCAATTTATTACTGGCTGGGTATTGAAAGTTCGTAAATATAATTACTGCTAGTTGTTGACGTAATGTGTCAGAGTTGGACTAAGACTCATTCCCGCCTCTAAAATGTGTGAGAACAATTATATCTAGGTAAAACATGTGTTTTTGGCCACTTCAGATTTATTCGAGTGTAGATTTTTCTTTATTTATACAGTAGTAAAAAAAAACTTCAGTAGGCTAATTTTGGTTCAGAAAAACCAAAATTAGCCTACTTGCACATGAAACAGGTTTATATGAAGGAAAAGCATCACATGTCTGTGTGGGATTCCTAAACCGTCATGGCACAATATGTAAGTTAAATTATTGAAAAATATTTATTACGGTGAACTTTCTATAATGGCTAAAACGTGAACTATATGCTTACCTTACATATATCGCTTTAGGCTTTTTCGAATATAGTGAATAGGGGTTAACTAATCAGTAGACCGAATAAAATTAACGTTTAGTAGGAGAACGATAAAGCGGTCACTAAACTGTTAGTGAAATTTGCCTTTCTAAACATATATCTGCCTAATTAAACACATAGGATATTCTTTCAGGGAGCAATTGTTTGTTCTGTTGTGCTGTAGCGCCGGCCAAACAATAAATCATTCGGCGCTCTGCTCAGTAATTCCTATTTTCTTTGTATTTCCTGAAGACATTATTGCAAGCTTGATTTGAAGACATTTAACAGTATGTAATCTCCGATGGATCTTTTCACAATAGCATCCTCACGAATATAAGAAGAGAAGGCTTTTTATCAATGTTTTCTGTACATGTCAGCCTTTACGTACGTCAGTCTTGGTAGGCCCTTAACCAACAACCATACCGCCTTAAATAACTTGCTTACTAGAATGCTCTGCACAATTTGTGTAAATGAGGTGGTAATGGACCAAGCTACCACATGCGTAGTTTTATGGCGTTAACCCCATATTCTTTGAGGGAGCACAAACTCCTTTTAGCGTATGATACTGGTTTGATTTCGCTGTAAAGCTATTGGGGACTATAGTGAACACGGCTGGCCATCCATGATGGGCACCGTAATAAACTCATTGGATGTCCACAACCATTTGATGGCTTTGCTATGGATATTCCGGAAGTTATGCATGCTTATCTGAGGTATATATATAGACACACGTCCATCGCACTGACAAACATCTACCGGCCAGTTCCGCCGGTTTGGAGCGCGTTTACCAGTGGCTCCTTGTTAGGACCCGCAAATCGCTAGCTTTATCAAAATTGTAACCGTGTCAAAACGAACCTGACACTCCTCCCTAAGTCATATCCAAACAAGTTTAGTAAGTAGGTCTTGCCGTAAACCTGAGCTACATAGACCACTACAACAGAGGGATTTTACATTTCAGAATAGATGATTTAGAAGGTATCGGGACCTGAAAGGCCAAGTGCATGCGTCGCCGTAATCTGCAATTACATACTGGGAAGATCGCAACAACCATGGGAGATGATAACTGTTCTGTGCTTTACTATCATCTGTTCAAGTCCATCGGGACCAACTTCGATACTCACAGACAGAAGGACACGATGATGCCTATCCTTAGTAAACCTTTTCAATTCTCCAATTCTGTACAGTGACACCAACTGCTTTCTCGATTAGTCCAAACAGGTGAGGATCCGCTTTTGCGTATGATATGGCATATAATTCTGGGTGATTAGTAATCCAATCGATCACATGCTCATCAGCAATTAAGGATAGTTTACGGTCGACATGCTTGAGATGAACAAGGAAACGCATCGCGTCATGTAAAGATAACTTCTTATCTTGACCATTTAGCCGCACCTTCTAGCCTATTGAAGCTAAAAGATAGCCGAAAACACTAAGCAGTTCTAGAGGTAGAAATAGATTAATACGAATCGGGTAACTGATCTTCCCAGAAACGTATTACTGCCGCCAGAAATTTTAATAGTAAAACAGTACATATGCGACTAAACGCGTCGTTTCCGGAAACGTCAGACAAGATTTGTCAGGGGGTGCCTGAATTTTGCGCTGAACCAGAGCTTGCTATCCAGGTTTATGTTTCCTGAATATTTTCGCTCGGGAGTTCTTAGTAGTTTTAAACGTTTTACGAAAACGAATAGGTCAAGGCATATAATAAGAACTAATTGCTGACCCTTTACAGGTGACCAACAGCTCGTGAAGCATCAAACGCCTCAAGAAACCTCAAGAAAGGGAGCTGATTGTGGAAGAAATTGGATTTTGCGAAATTGCCACAAGATGTACCTGATACCCTTGCTACTATTTTTGAGAAAGGGTAAAGTAGAAAACATTGCACTAGACAACAAGGACCGCTTAAATTGATGCGTTTGCCTTTATTCTCAATTTTAACATAAGGATTCTGCAAGTTTTTAAACAGAGACCCTAACAAATCAAAGTATTTAGGTAGACCGCTTTGTGAAATACACATAAATTATATTCTGATTCAAACTATTTTTCGCTACCCTGAAAGCATATTATTATCAATTATTTACTAACTAATGAAGCTATTTCGAAACGACGGCCGGTTTGCCGGTATTGATGTGCTGCGCCTAGGCTAATACGTTAGCTACCTCACTTATCCAAGAATGGTACTGTTGATAATAGGAATAAACTTCAGGCATAATTTACGAGAGGTGATCTGCAAAGGTTCCTAGCCCATTCCAGTCCTTCGAAAGCCTTCTGCAGTTAACTATTTCCTCTGGGTTTTTGATTCTGGGTTAGCGCAATGGCCAACTGGCCGCATTTACAGATTTAAACCTAGCCGAAGTCACTTGCGTAAAGGTGGCGTTTTTAAAACCCTTGTTGAAGGTTCATAGGTTACCTCATAATAAACAGATCTATCGAATCTTCAGTTCTTCAGAAGATCACTAAAAACGTCTAGGTTTCTTAGAACTTCTACATACGAAGAGCATTTCTGCGAATAAAAAATAAAGAAAGGCTTGAATTCTTCATGACTCATACCGTATTGAAAATGACACCTGGAAGAAGCTATCCTGCGGAGTCTTTGTAAGCTATTGCGATTTTCGATGCGCAAGTTTCAACGTGCTATACGCAGACATTATGGCTTCCAGTGTCCATTGCGCTAGCCATCTTTACGCTACTTCATTCGTTACCGATCATTTTCAGGAATGTTTACACGCAGCGCCAAGGCATAATTCTGTGTAATGTGTCTTCTTTATCATATACTAAAACGTGGCTGAATAAATAAAATTTTTGACCATAATAAAGCCAACTAATAAACAAGCGCTTGTTTAGTTAGGTACACGACTTGATTACCTCGATATCCTGTTTCGCGTTTCATTTGAGGACAATTGTTTCCCTGAAAATCAAATTTAAAAAATGTTATCCTTAGCAGTATAGCAGTGCCTAGAAACATAATAGTATGATTAACAGGAGTCAGGGGAAAAAATGCGTTCTGGAGAATTATTTTTCGCCTTAAAAAAGTTCATTTTCTTCTTTTAGATTTCGTTGTCTTCATTTTCAGCTTTCCTCTACGAATGTCTACGAACTTCGTCATACATGATGTCTTACTTCCAAATCAATAAATGTGGAATTTATATATTCATAGCAAACTTAAACGAAATATTACGTTGTTGATATTACGAATAGTACGTTTGTACAGTCGCTCTTATTGGCAGCGCAATTCATTGTTCTAGCTAATTACGTGAATTTAAGTTTTATACATACTTGATTATTTTAGAAAATCATGTTCCAATTACACAATCCAAGTATCTGTCCTTCATCGAAGTTCTATGACGAAAAACTCACTCAAAAGAAACATACAAAATATATTTGCCTTTTGTCCAATGCGGACTTTGTTGTTGTTATGAAAGTCTATATTGGTCCACGTGACGCGGCGGTTGAGTGGCAAAGGCGGTCGAAAATTATCCCACATTGGCGCCTTGGGATTGGCGTCGTCACCTTGCATTAACTTGCGCAAGAGATAAAGTTGTTGTTTGGTCACGTACACGGGTTTGTTCATGACTATCCACCTGGAAAGATATTGAAGTTCATGAAAAATACTTTGTACAAGAAATCTCAAAAAAGGTCTACCTCTATCAACCTACTATGTTACATTTTTGTATCAAAAACGGGTACACGAAAAAATGGCTTCATTTACTGCATTTTTTTCTTGGTTTTTTAGTTAGCCTGTAAATAGTTCTCGTGGCTCAGACATTTCGGCCATTAATGACTTGTCTGCAACACTTGCTTGCCCACTGTGATTGAAGCACCAAAGTGCCATCCTTCGGAAAAATTTAATTTTAATTCGGGTAAGTAATGAGCAAAAAAAAACACATAATTTGTGCGCTCATAGCTTAAAAGTCAATAGTGGGTGAGATCGGACGCACCGCCAGATTCAATACAGGCAGAGTGAAGGTAGTATTTTCGACTTGAATGTTTTAACGGGTTTGAGTTTATATAAAAAAGTTTAAATATTTATATTATTAGGAGTACTTAAATAAAGTACGCCGGCAAGCTGTGATTTCTATATTTCATATCTATACAAATTTCCAGTAATAACTTACGAATTTCTACGGCAGGTCTCGTATCAGAAGGAGAGCAGATATTATCAGCATTTGAGTGTATTTAGTTCGATGTTGATTGAGCTAACCCAGATGCATGGAATCGTAATTTTAAGTTCAGCTGAAAAATAACTTATGGCTCTAGTTTAATTAATTTTTAAATTTGTGTGCAATTATCGATTGACAGCAACAGAGATGCACAACTTTATTTATCTTTAACTATCCGGTGGAGACAGAGTAACAACGGTTGAAACTGACACAATGAAACACATACAGTTTAACTTCTTTTTGGATACATTTTGTCATTATGAATAATTATTTTATCAGTCTCTGATTGAAGGGACATTTACTTCGGACGTCTTAAAGCGTCAAAAGCAATTCTTTTTTGAAACGATTTTTATGATTTTTCTCATTATTTGAAATTTGACTTCATTAAAGACGACTATAAGTGCTTCTACGAATTTTAAGGACCAACTGTATTTCACTGAAACAAACACCAAATAAAAAGTTTGCTTGCGGCAGTTCGGACATGGCCAGTGCACAAAGACTCTTTCCGCTAGCCCATATATTGCCAATCTCTGACTACTGACCCAGTCCTTTATAGGTTGATAGCAGCGAGAAACGGAACTTTTGGAAAGTACTGAGGAGACCTAGAAACCGGCCGGCTACTCGGGACCAAACAGGGGACATAAAAACAGGAATTAGATCGTTGCAAGGATGGACCGGAACGTGACAAAGGGGATACTAGCCCAACGCCCGTTCCTGCAAGTTATGGTTTCGAAGTAATATTAAACTATATCCCGAACCAAAGCCGAAGTCTTCGAGGGGTCCAGGGTTTAGTGGGTGAGAGTCCGACGGTGTCAGACCACCAACACAGTTATGACAACACAGTCTGATCTACATAATGCATTTGCCCTCAACCTTCAATAAACAAAAAAAAAATCGTTGCGAGGAACAGGCCTGTTGGAAACCAGGTCGCCATAGAATACAGGCTTCGAGGACAGCCGTTTGTATTAATAGCAACATCAAGTTGTGATCCACGTGGCCACTGGCGTTCGAGCAAGAAATGGAAGAAACGACTCGCTCGCGAAGGGGTAACGATGACAGAGGGTTTTCCTGATAGAAAAACCTGATTTATGTTGTGCAGAGAGCAAGCAACCCTATACCGAACGAAATTGCCAAATTCGAACCGTAAAGGCTTCACGGAGTCAAGTCGCCGCGCACCAATAGTAGCCAACAGGGAGACCACTCATTAAACACGCGAGACATTTCGGACACCAAATTGCAAAGAACGCAATCTCATAGGGGACACACTAATGGTACATCGATGCAGCATGGACAGTAGCAATGGCTGAGTGTTAGGATCACAATATGAACAATAAACGATTGCTAGTTCGGGCGCGGGTAGGATATAAAACCCAGCCGTTAGCCGATATATAGTCAATTTGTGCCTAACGGCCTAGGTCGTTTATTATTTCCATAGGGCTGCTCTTGCCTCACCGCTAAAGGTGTGCATGCGGCAACGATAGCGTCGACGGTACTCTACGATCCCGAACAGGCGCAGGGAACAACCGTACGCAGTAGAAACAAACTTGCGCACTCTTTTTTTGGCGGAACAACACGAGCTATACGAGCAGCTCTTCAACCTCGTTAAGGTACGGAAAGAAATGTTTCAGAATTTTGTACAGGCAAAGCGAGCCGCGTTCGTAGAAGTGGGTTCCGTTTTGAATCTGTTGCTTTTGCAAACTTTATTGCAGCGGCATTGGTAACTTCGTACATGAAATTCATCTGCCTAGTCCAGAACTACATGCCGGAAAGACCGAACACGGCTAAGCAATTTCAGCATCAATTTGCAAGGCATGTACGAAGAATACGTAAAATGTGCGAAAATACGAGTATGTACAAAAAAAAGTGTAAGCAAATCAAAGTGACGCGTCGAGGTCCGACTGCAATTTACACGTGTGTATCATTATTCGCATGCCGAAAATTTTCGAGATAAGGTCATTCTCATGACAGCTACAACAGCTTATTAGGGGGGTTCTTCGTGATCATATAAATCAATAAATTGTTTGTATATGTATTGTTGGTAGGACTTAAAGCAACATTCCCCTCATTTCTTTTGGTTTGGCTGTTGCGGCCAGTGCTGCTTCATAATCATAAAAACAAGTTTCGTTAAAGTTTGCCTTGGTATCTTGTCTTTCAGTCCGGACCGCAAGCGTTGGGTACTATGTTTCACTGGCGGGACGAACCCTTGGAATTTTCAACGTTTTTTAAAGCTCATCTGAGAGTTTCTGAGGCTTTTTGTCAATTAAAGGGGCAATACTATACGAGGTAAGGACTCCGAATGGTATCGGAGCTCCTACAGTATAGGAATGCTTCGACAATTGCAGCACCTCGCCGCTAACAACAAAGGTAACTCGCTTGGTACGCTTGTGGGACCATCACTCCATCACTTCGACGAGCTTCAGAAACGGCAACCCGTAACGATCCCTATGCCAGGTAATGTTTGGAGTACGGGACTCCGCCTAAGAAGAGGATCCGATGACTTAGAAGGCTTTCAGCAGCAAATCCTTAAAGAAAACCCACTTCAGCTACGTCGTCTGCAGTAGAATCTTAAACCGTTTATCCGACCCATGGCCAGAAAGACGTGTCGTCAAGAAAATGGCTTCGAAAACAAGACCGCGGTGCACAGCCGCGGGACGGAGATACTCTATACGGTGTTTGGTTTGGCCAAGTAAAACGGGATGAATTTAGATGCTTGTTAGCGTAAATGGTGTTTAAGCATTTAGGACAAAACATATAGTTCCAGAGCTAGTCTTGACCCTCTAACGACGAAACTACCGTCCATAAACTACACAGTATACGTTGTAAGTAGAAACGACGATATTTAATCACTTATATGATATAAAGCGCCAGCTTTTTCAAAGAACTTAGGTTTATTGTTTTCCTTCAACTGATTTGTTCTACGAGTAGCTTGTCCCATAAGCTACTTAAATGCGAAAATAATACATATCACACGGTTCACAAATTATTTTTAAAAATGTTTTTTTTTATGGTTATTTTTTGAGGAAGTTCTCGGAAAAGAACACAGATTATGTATTTTATCAAACATTTATGTTATTTTCTAGGATTTTGTAATTCAAAAAGAATTTACCTTAACAAGAACCAACGTGAATATATATGATGTAAATAATAACCAAAATTGGAGTTTAAAATATATTTTGCAATAAAAGGAATTGAAATATAATTTCTATAACAGCCAAGCATGTCGATGGGATTTGCTAATACGTTTTCTTTATTTATAGGAAGAGCTATCGAATGCAACGATACGGGAAGCTCTGAATTTCAACATTACGTTGCTGAAAAGAGGTGGCTATAGAGACGGCGAAAAAAAGGCCACTGCATAAATCGATGAACTTGATGCTTTTCCAATCGATTGTGCTCTCGTATTTTCTTTATTATTTCTTCCTATTACGAAAGCTGTTACGAGGTAAAAACGGTCCTTATCGTGGTTTTAAATGCCGCTGTAATAATCAATTATAAAGCGTGATCTGTCCTAGAAGAACTTCGTTATTGTTTTATTTTAGCATGCGTGTGCTACGATTCGCTATCGTTCAAAGCAGACGCTTTGACGGACGAAGTAAGCTGTTGGCTATAGCTATCAGTGTCAATAGCGTTGAAAGAAGACGCGTACCGTGCTGCAGAATCGCATAGCACTATACGGTGACAAGGGTATGCGTTTGGGAATCTTCGTTTGTCATTACCCTGTTTTACAACTGTTTTAAACTAACGGACAGTTTGTGTCAACGCAGTCCTTTGTGCTAAATACATTATTAAGATTGTGTAACCGAAGCGCTAATTATTGCTAACGTTCATTCTGTGTTCGATGCATTGTTTTACGGTACCATTCGTGTATGTTAACCAAAACCCAGTCCGCTTGAGCTGCTAACCTACAAAATAAATGGATCCGAGCTATTCTAATGTTTAAATTTGATTTTAACACCGAATTTACGAGTCAAACTTTCCAAATCGCTAACTTAAAGTGTCTTTGAATTTGGCGCGCAACTAAAATACAGCAGTCCATATTAGGGTTTCGCTAGTCTATAACTATAATAAAATTTATAACTATCCTTAAACTTACGATCGAAACGTTTTGTTGTTTTAAATAAATTCATCCTGGACGCTAAAGCGGACAGAAATTGATAAAAATGAGAAAAAAAAAAAGCGTATTTTCGAAGTGGGTAATCATTGTGTGATTCTGTCGCGTTTTGAATCGGTAGCATTATTATTATTATTATTTAATATAGGCGTTTAAAAGTATCATTTTGAGAGCTACACGATTAGTAGTGCATCGACAGAGTTATGGAAATCTACTGTTACGTTCGTTGATTTACCTTGGCCGTATCGGATCCAGTTGAACTTAGTTACTCGTTCTGCGCATATCCGGTCTCTGCTTGAACTATTTTTGTGTTAACAGCATTTAAATAATCAAAGACCGTTAACAGAAAAATCAATATAACTCCTTAATTCGCAATGGTATTTGCGTCTCTAATTTTTTTCCTCTCCAGGATCGTTTTGGCCAAAAAAACCATGCGGTCATATTTTTGGTTTCGTTAGGATGAACACATTTACATTGGACAGCACACGCAAGCCATTACCTTAATGTCCAAAGAAATGTTATCTGTGAATCGTAGTCTATATGAGATATACGTTCGAGGGCTAAGAGTTGTTTTTTGTTGGCATGCAGAAGCTGCCATTCTAGTAGATAATGCGTTATTATTTGCGCATTGCCGAAACATTATTTATTCAAGAGCAGAGTTGTCAATTTTACCACCAGACCCTATACGCCATATTTAAGATGTAGCTTTAGTAATCTTTTGTTAGTTATTGCTTCGGACGATTACTTAAAACTAAAATATATCAAGTCGATATTAGCTGATCTTTTCGTAAACAAGGTCGTTTCGGCACTTCTAGGAACTGAAGAGTTGTAAATACCCCACAGAGACGAAAAAATCATCGATAAGGAATAAAAGCTTGTTGACATGTATTAAATAAGTTGTTGTATAATTTTGCGTAAAATAGACGCGAGGAATATCGGACGCTCATTTGCTACGTCAGCTGGGGACTCTTCTTTACAGATGCCATAGCACAGTTGAGTAGTCCAGGGTAGCAAACCTCGTCTAAACCTACTACTACTACTTCAACAAAAGACGAGAGACGACTGTTTGGGATGCTGGGTATTCCGGAGACCTGTATCCTCGACCATATATTCGGTCCGGTTTACCACTTCTTTTGCTGGGAAGAATGGTGTACGTGCGTATGCTTGAATGATAAATCAGCATCGCTTCAAATCTCAACGCGATTGGAGTTGCGAACGTTAATGTCCATGTAAGATTTCTGTGCCATGCTTTCTCGCTTGATGGCTAGATGCTGGTAAATTGTTTCATAAGGATCTCAGCCAAAAAATGTTGTCAAACTTTTTCCATTGGAAGTAAGGAGCCTGAGCTTATTATATTTTTTGACATATCTTGGTGGATGACTATAGGGTTCAAGGATATCAGACACAAAGTGCGCTTTGTGTAATACCCCCCTGTTTTCTAGTAGCTGTGTCCAAGCCTATTTATAATTGATTTGGTTAAGACCATTACTACATAAGTTAGTTCATCTGTCAATACATCGACTCTACGAAGATCACAAATGTCCAAGAATAAAACGCGTCAGTTTCACGATATTTGAATACACTTTATCGGTATTTGAATAGGACACGGAAAATGAACTTGTAACTATCGTTTTTCATAGTCACGCTTTTCATATTAATGAGAAGGACGCAAATTCCTTATGTTCACCTCAGGACCAACTTTGGCCGCGAAGCTTACTGCAGTGCGGTCAAAGCGATCATCTCTGTAGACTCTATCTACGCGTCCTCTGTTTTCGATGTCCACTCGGGTATCTGGACCAATGCTAACATAGATTCAAGACAATTACAGAATTATCTTGTGCAGCACAAAGGGAAAGAATGATATTTTGGTTTAGTTTTTATCTAGACTGATTAAACGGACAGCTTTTCAATATTTAAGCGGCGAGAAACTAAAATCACTTTATCCGCTCAGAGTCTGTTACATAGTACTACTACTCATTGATCATCGCCGACTCCAAAGTTTCTTCAAGCTCCTAGGCATTACCTATATCCTATCCTAGGATGGTCAACAAAAGATTGATTGATAGTGATTATCTCAGATACATTATCCAACAAGCCACTGCGCACTCCAGATCAGTGTCTAATCATCTAAAGTACTTCTATCCCGTAGAGAAATCTGTATCTTCTTAGTAGAAAACAGTTTTACCTTTCACAGCATAACACGATAATAATCGAACGTGCATTTTTGAATCGTCAATAGGTCGATCGTGTCTTCAGCCACTTAAAAGGCGTTCAGTAGACCAGATATTGTTCGAAATAAGGTGTTATTTGCCAGAAATTATCGTTAGTGCCTTAACCAGCCGAATGTATGGCCGTTTTGATCTACCTGTACAGGCGACTGTTCCGTCATTAGGCAGGAGGATAATAGTCAAAAAATTAAATCGTCTTTCTTAATCAAAAGAAGATTTGAAGTAAATAAACATTTTGACAACCGTCGTTATTGTTTTTTGGTTAGCCGTAAGCGAATGTGGCCACAGAAAGCTGTGTGGTGGATTTACTTTGAGATAAATATGGTCAAATATAGACCAAGAAAGCAAAAAGCTCGGGGAACTTGAATAGGATCAGTCCCAGATGAAGTATGGGAATAACTTTTAAAATCTAGTGACCGATCGATTAAGACGCACTTGGAGCCTTTTTCGCAGGGAAATCAAAGCTAGTGCCAAGGTATTAAAAATGGTGAGCGAACGAGTAATCATTTGGCATAAATTTTCCCATGGAAAAATGTAGGTAAATGAAAATTCCCTCTAAATCACCAAATACGATCATTTAGCTATAATAATATGTAATTAATAATATCTATTTTAATATTACTCACCGAACGGTTTCATAACAGCCGGGCATTGTTAGAGATCCGTCGTACGTCATATACTCCGTTGTATCTGGAAGCAGCTCCTTGACAGATAAATGCTGGATTATCGCTTCTTGCCCTAGAATAGAGAGTCATCACAATAATGCACCGCGGTTCTAGAAAAATAGTAGAAAGAATGTACGCAAGTAAAGTTATTCTAACTTTTTATTTGCCGCCAAAGTCACTTCTCTAAAAACTTCCCGATAGCTGTGTATTCAGCATTCGGGTTACCATTTGTAAATAAAAGTTTCGACTTTCCCGTTTTTTTTTACTATCATTAAGCATGCTTCAGATGCGGGTTGTCATACCTAGTTTTTTATTGTTGCTACGTTGAGCAATCGGCGTTTGCGTTGCGTGTAATCTTCAAATATTTTAAAAGTAGCTATAATTACGTGGACTGGAAATACGGGGGCTGAAGTTGAATCTTAGTCCCATAATCTTCTATCGTGGCCAACCGTTTTAAAATTTCGATGAAACAGCTTTCCGAAATCGTGAAGCAGTCAGCATTTTATCTCTCGACTTTCAGATAGTGCCAAGTCTAAGAGGCAGTCTTAGCTTTATGCAGGCACCTCCAAATCTCTGATCTTAGTAGAAACTATTTGGGTAATTTCATTTTGAAATAAAAAATGAACGCTGTAATTCGAAAAAGTAAAAATATATTCAAAACAGAAAATACAGATTTCTTAAAATCAAGAAGAGAACTTAATAGAAAGTGGTGAAACACCGATTAAATCTGATTGATTACTCAAAGAAGTATCGAACGCAGTTATGGCGACGTCCAACATCTTCGGAAAAATAATGACCAGACTATGATTTGGAAAAGGTAAGTGAGCTTGTTGAATTTGTCGGATAGCGATTTCATTGAAATAAACTGGAAGACATCGTATAAGTACTCTCTGTGTATATGAGCGCGCTAAAGAAAAACTTTTAAAAATATATATATATATATATACACACTTTGTGCACTTGGGTTACAGATAAGAGTTGCATCGCACTTACTAAGTCATAATTTGCATTGTGTCTGTTCTGTGGCATCGTTCCCTACCATGTGGTATCAAACCCCAAACTTTACCATTACAGTTGGCATTTTTTAAAGTACGTTATGTTAAACTTGAACATCATAAAATAATCTGTTACGGCTGATACGTTATAAGTATCCCATATATTATAGTTCGCGTAGCTGTTACAACAGTTTAGTTCTAAAAGACTCATCTAAATTTCACTTAATACATAAGAAAGAAATATACCTCTATTTTAGTAAAGGTTATGAAAAAATCGGGTGCAGTTCTTTATATTTCTAAAATTAGAGCTACGTTCTCCTATCAAAATATTTCACTCTGATTTTATAAAAAGCTGAATGTATTATGTGTCCGCTAGCAGCTTCTCCAATTTTATTGCGTCAACCAACCGATCTATTCCGTTTCGCCAAGAATATTCAGATCTTGTATAGAAGAACTCATCGAGTTTTTTTTTTCATTGTTTATTGTCAAATGCATTGCAACCAATTTAGATGCCAGTTATCGGAAATAGTCACGGTCCATTAGGCCGAGGTCTGGAGACTACGGCGGTAGGTGCAAAGGAACCCTTCACTCAAGTGTCTTGCTGGCGGCCTTAACGACCTTTGCTATGTCCGTGGGCTGGTACTGTAGCGAAGAAGGATGGATTTGTTTCGTCTATGTTAGACAGCCTCGTTCACTCGATACAAGTGAGCCATATACCGTTGAAATTGACCGCTTTGTTTTTACCAAGTATTTTTCTGAATATAAAGTTTTTCCAGTCTACAGAACGCAAATAATGGTTTCTGTCGAATAAAGGTCTGGCTTAATATCGACGTAGAAAGACCGCTTCTAGTCTTTTCTAAGGGTCATCGTTGAATGAGTGTCCCGAGCCCCTAACAAAGAAAATGTATAGTAGATGTCCAAAATTCTTTTTGTTGTTTAAAGCATTCATCGTTGAGGCCTAAACTTGGGATATTGTTTTATTTACCAATAACAACATAACTTGAGGATATATGCTGTTGTGTGAGGAAGGCCGTATCGAATGAAAATGTGAAAAGATGGTGTAAGTGTAAACGAGAGTTTAATTCTCATTCCAAATCAACTATTTCTAAATGAAGAGCAGCAGTATTTTGTAGAGAATGCGGTATTACTGGCATTCGAGGAAGTTCTTGTTTACGTTCTTGCGGTACTTTACACTAGAACGAAAAATGCTAGGGATGAAATTCTGACTGGACTATTGATACGAGCCTAGTAAGATTTCGCGTCAAAGGTTTGATGTCTGATGTCTAACTATCCTTACAGCTGCTCGTAAGTTCATACAGAACTTACCAGCGGCTGTAAGGGTTCTTTTTTTTTGAACCGCTACGACAGCGACTCAAGATATCTCTTTCTGCTATTTAAAAAAAACTTCCGCTAAATCTAACACCACCGTTTCGTGGCCACAATCGACGAGAACCAACATCTGCTTTAAAAATACGATGGTTCTAAAAGAAGAAACCACTGATTCTTTGCTTCTCGTTATGGTGCATCCTCCTTGTTTGCCTTAAAAATACCTAATCACTTTCCTGAAGGAAAACTGACACGTAGGGTTCATTGCAATCCTGACCCTAAAACCGCTAGTCGGTGAGGCTACTTCAAGAATAGGCTAATGTGGCACAAAGGTTTTCCTCCATTCCATTAGTGTGTCCTTAAAATCTAACATGCCTGACTGCAAAACCTTAAAGGGCTACAGAATATTTTCAGTATTACACGAGAAAATCTTCGCCAGAAACTATGTTCATCCAGTACCGTAATGGCAGCCCTTCAATATGTCTGAATAAAGAACTTTCAGCTGGGATGTTCAACGCCGTTTTTTGTGATGGAATTTCAGTAGGAAATCTACAGGGAGACTTAATAACTTTTTGACGGGATTTGACAGGGATTTCCCGAAGGTCTTATAACTTCAGGTGGCTAAAACTGTTCTCCTTGAAGCCCACCCCACAGCATTCGACCACAAGAGTCAGTCTCATTTATATAGGAAGAGCAACTTGTGGTTTTGCACACTAACTTCGCAAATTTAGAGTCCCACTATTAGATTTTTTACTTTGGGAACACGTCATTTAATTCCAAAAATTGTTTGCATCCTGCCCCTGACATCGACATGCGTGCATGAAGAGGCCTTGTGGCACATTAAAAAAGTACTGTGTCACTCCTCAATCCATCTTCGATATCGGGCTGCGGTCTAACGTTAGCGCTTTCGGGGTCCGCAAGGCCCGAGTCTCTTAGGCCTCTAATTTAACTAGAGGATTCGCTGAGATCTGTCGCGCTTCCAGGTATATCTGTTGTCCTTTTAGTCCCCCAGAGGCGTTCAAAAGCGATTCGACAAAATAATTAACAAAATTTTGCGAGCGCTGTTCTATTTAAATATTGGTCCGAACCAGCGGAAGTTAGCGGGCAAAATTAAAGGCGGCGTTCGCGCCTGTAAACGGAAACTGGCACTGAGCCTCTTATTGCGCCTAAGGAAAGGCTGCACAACAAAACACTCCGTATCAGTTTGACTTTACGAATGCGGAAGTTTCTCTGTAAGTTATACTAGTGTTCCAGATCTGCAGCCCAAGGCACATCTACAGGCATGCACTCATGTGCAATCGTTCCAGCTTGCTTAGGGGTCGCACAGTCTCTCAGCCAACACTTCCGTCAGGCCCAGTAAAATCGCACTGGTTCCGTGAAAGGCTTTCACGGCACGTCTCGATGGCCAGTACGTTATCCAAGACATAAACCATTGCATATTGCAGGAAAGCAACATATCCAGCCTGACTCGCCGAAAGTAAAATATACCATTGAGTTAATCAAAGCGTACATTATACGTATGTACAGTTGAAACACTGAATGATTATTTCACGTGATTTGAAGACAAGAGCTTTTGGAGTAGCAACAACGCATTTGCCCCAAAGGGTCTTATTCAAGGAGCGGAAAAAGGATTAGTTATATTTCAAACCGGTTTACATTACACTATTTAAAAACTGTGTATTATAACTGAGAAAGTGGGAATCCGTGCGTAAAGCTGACACTCTATCGTCATCGATTGGTCCAGCAATATATCGGGAACGATCTAGCTGCCGCACGCTAGTTTTTGTTGTCACTGAATATAAAAAGTAACTCTTTATCTTTTCAATGAAACGTTCGAAAATTTGAAAAATTGTCATATATATATATATATATAAGTAAAAAAAAATATAATAAAAATCACTTCACAGTTTGAAAACATGTCACACAACCAGCAGGAGATGGGCGATGACGAGCGTATTTAACCGTGCAACACATTGATGATAATGGCAACATCTTCAAACAATTTATACGTTCTATAGACTGCTATCCTATATTGCCTTACCTGTTATAGTGAAATTAATCTATCAGAAGACTTTTTACCCTTTATGTATATATATATATATATATATAACAGGATGAGTATAAAGTAGTGAATTTGTCTAAATGAATTTTAGCGTTGCTAGATGTGCCGATTGAAACAAAGCATTTGGAGTGGGAATATTTTACCTGCTACAAATACTCGATACCTTTTTCTTAATGTTAAGTGTGTTATAGATAGTGGTCGCTGTTTCTAGTACTCCTGTTGAAACCATCATACGGCCCAGCTAAAAGTATATTTCACTGAACCCTGTTGAGACCCATTCCTAGCCTAATCGGCATTGGTAGTCTTTTTCAGTCCGCTAATTTGGCCTGGACGTCATTCGAGAGGACATACTTCCTTACACATACGCATGCAATTGCTCTTCCAGTAAACACAGCAGTTCTCATACAGTATCGTGTTTGCCTTCTAACCCGACAAATATATTTACCTAAACAACATACGCTTCTATACAAATATCATAAAAAAAAATGAAGTGAAATTAGTACGGATGAATGTTTCGCAAAGCTTTATTATCCCGCGAGCCATTGATTCCGCTTTTTGTAAAAGTAGTGTAGTCTGCGTATGGCCTGTTTCGTATTTTGCACGTACTATTGTTTTGCATGGGAGTGGCCTGCCTCAGTCAGATGTGCTATGTGATCATTCCGCTGATACGAGTGAAATACTGTGCAAGCATTGTTGTAGTTAAGTCGATTGTGCGATAAAAACACCGAGTGCAGGGATAGAACATGGGGAGTTAGAAATAAACCTTTGAGTACTCTACTTTTCGTGATCTGAGTCACTTGAATATTCCATGATCAACAAGTCGTTTGCTAAAAAGCGGGACTGGTAATTTCATCGATTTTGCATTTCGCAACCGTCAGACAGTTCTCGCATGAAGTTAAAGTTGCTTACTTTCCTACAGTACCATGTAAATTGTATATTATTAATAAGTAATCAAATCGCGTTGAAACAAACCTTAGCACGGGTGGTAGCTTAAGGTAACGTTCGCGTCCCACGTATTCAAAGTATGTGCAAACTCGATTGGCATGACATTAACTTTCTATTTGAAAACATAAAATAGACGTTATCTCAGTATTGCCGCGAAAGGCACATAGTGTAAAGCTTCCGCCTTCGAGCAAGCGAAGTTATCGGAAGACTTCGACCAGGATCACAGTCTTCGGAATACGTAATAGGTAAATTCCTCTTATTTTCAGGTCGGCTGATGTCATGCAAATCCTGGTGTGTGTACATCTGTTGTTTGCAAGAAGATATATAATTACACCTTTTGTCCAGTATATAATAACTAATCCAAATAAAGAGTCCAGATGTTTCGAGCGATGTAGTCAGCTGAAAGGCAAGGTGTTATATAGCTTAAGCTATTTGCTTTCCAACGAGACGTTTTTGCCTCCTGATAAGACTCTAGGAGAATTTTCCTAGAAGAGACCGAATTATATAGCGTATTAAATGAGAAAAGGATAACATATATTTTAATAGACAAATTAAGGACAAAAATTAGTTTTGAAATTCAGGCTAAACCTAGACACATAGCAGTGTCCCGAACCAAGAAGTGTCAGTGGATTACAGTTCGTTATTTGGTCGCCGCACGGTTAGAAAGGCTTTCCGATCGGATCGTCCCCTCGTTGAGTTCTTTGAAAGTCCGGTGCAGTGGACAACAACCGGCAAAGGTAATTCTCATACAGTCGAAAATCTTTGCACGCGTCAACAAATCATTTTGCCGAAACAGGGGCGGGCGACAATTTAACGTTCCGCAAATGCGATAGAACTCTAACCGTAGCTCTGCTTGGTTTCCTTAAGCCAAACTGATGTTAGACGGAGCGAGGGTCCTGGTACTTTACGTATGTACATTGTAAAATAGAACTTAATGTCATCCCGCTAAGTGACAGAGTTTCGTCCAAGAGAAAAAAAACCGATTCATTCCCAATGGCAAGGAAGGTAAATATTTTTGCGAAAATTAAAGACAGTTACTGTTAGATGTAGACGATACCACGTTCTGCCGTTCTCAAACTAAGTCATTTAATAGCCAGTCAGTTAGAGCACAGTGTTTGAGCTATCGAGTCAACCGATCCAGAGAATGCTGATGGTGTTTATTACACGAGCCTGCTTAGGAAAATTTGACGCGGTTCCATTTTCCTTAAGAATTATTACCACGGGCGTATTCACATCAAAATATATCACAGACCTCGTACACGAAACTTCCGTTTATTCCTCTGAGTGTATGGGTTGAAAAATACCTTCTTCTGTGGTAGCCTGCTACAAATAACTCATCTCTTTAAAAATCTATCCCGACGGTTTTCAGTTATGTCACGGACGTGCCGTAATTAACAACCGGATCTTCGGGTATTCAATTACCAGTTAGCAGGCTGAAAAATTAAAGCTCTAAGCAATCTATTCCGGAAAGGTATTCAACAATACGGAGAGACCTGTACGACGAAAACTTTTTTTTTTCTTTTTTTTTTTTTGCTAGCCCATTCAGCGTTTGGACAATGACAAATGACTAAACACTCCAAAAATTAGCGCCGATACTCTTTATATCGAGTACTTTAATTCAGATACTTTTGCGTAAAATATTATGACTAACATGATCAAACAACGACAACTGAGTTACATTTGCCTATTCTACAGCAACAACGTTGGGCTAGACGCCAAAGTGAATTCTACTGAGTACACCTAATCTGTAAAAACATACCTCGATATACAATTTTTCGCAGCGGTGAAGTCAGTACGCGAAGCTCTGGTGAGGGCGTTTCAGCCAATTGGACCAGAATCGAAATAGCCACCAATGCGCTACTTTCACGCAGTTCGAGAGCTTCCGACACGTTCGCATATAGGTCACTGTTAAAACCGAAAAGCTGAAGCTGAAAGGGAAAATGCAGAAGATTAATAATGTGATATTTTATGCACTTCAAATGAAAATGCATCGCTAGCTGCATTTGATTTTTGTAAATAATTTTAATTTTTTTGCGCGGATAACAACTTAGATTTCCTAATTATCTCTCAATGTTAACTGTTGTACCAAGCACTAAGAAGAGAGGATAATATGATCATACACAGTCTAGTTGTCTGATACTTGTTTTAACTTTACGTTTAAAACAATTTCAACTACTAAGTTCATTGAACAGTATTTAGCGTGAATATTCATTCATACGGCTGCATCAGCCCTGATTTTCTAATAATTTCAACATAAAAACTCCTTTATAGTAGTACGTGTGCTTATTAATTATTAAAATTAGACGCTAATTATTTAAAAATAATTTCGTATATATGATACAGTTTACGTATATATATTGGGTTGCCGAAAAAGTGTTGACCATTTTTATATTACTGTCGTCTATGATCATCACCATGATCAATTGTATTAGAAATGGCTGGATTTCCTTTTGTTTCTTTAGAGTCACTTATCTTGCCTATGGCAGCCAATATGTAGCCAGCTGTCTCCAAATAGTTTAACTATCTTCAGTAATTGATCTTTAGCTTTGTTCAGCTTTAGCAATCATTTTAGCAACTTCTCCTCTATTTGGTTAACTACCACGAAGGGCACCTTTCTCATCGAAATTTCCATAACGATAACGACAAAACCATTTCTCTGGGCATTTTCGACTTCTCCGTACTTCAGTCATAAAATAATTAAAAGGCAAATTTTGTTCGTCTTTAAGAGACTCAATAAAGACTCAATATTGGCTTTTTAACAGTACCAACTCGCAAAATGACACCAACGCCGGCCCGATGCGACTCATGTTACGTTAGATATATGGCCTTAAAGTGACCCAGCGGTCAATGCTTTTTCGATAATTTAATATTTTCAATCACCCGATAAGTGCGTGACTTTTGGCAGCTCTTACGTACGTAATCGCGCGGGTATAGATCGGGAAAATAAACAGGTTGAAATCAACCTCGGGCATTTCTTCTTTATTCAAAAAGTAATTAAGCTATGGTCTGGGGTAAATAAGTAGACTGCGTGCTTTCGACTGCCATGCCAGTGGTCATGAGCCTTTTGGAAAACTCCAGATAGAGGATGGTATTTATTGTTTCATTTTCAGCAAATACTCTGCTCGCTACTGTCGTCGAACCCATTTCCTTGCCTAATTTTTCTCGTGCTAATGATTGAAATTGAACCTTTCATGGCCTATGGCGACCATACACCTAACTAAATCTGTGCCAATATCTCGTATATATTCCAACGAATTCAATTCCGTATTTTAAGTTTTTGCATTTTCAGCGTTTGATTTATAATTATATAACACGTTGTGGCCGGCAAAGCCTTTAGACAGTCAAGCTCGGCGTTCATAGAAAACCTTTTCGATTGCGCTCTTGTCCTTTGGGTTTCGACATCTGGTCACTTCCACGCTGGTCTTTAACCGGCCAATTTACGTTCTTGAAACGCTTACACCGGTCACGTACCGTACTTTTGCTTAAAGCCTCCCTGCCTAACGTCTTCATTAATCTTCAATGAATTTCCGCAGCGCTTTGGTCTTCAAGGAAGAACAGTTAACCTCTGAACGTTGACTTTCGAGACTTAAGTTATTTACTTTTAACGTCCACCAAATTCGCTTCTGTACATACTAATAATAATACAGTTACAAAATCACATGCACATCAATAGCAGTATAAGACTCAAGCGCGTTGCTGCAGAAAACTCGTTCCTGCTATTAGCACCCCTAGGACCGCCCGGAAGCAGCGGCAGGAGAACCAGCAATATTGGGTTGCTTGCTCAATTGGCTTTCAAGCAGGCTCATCCTGTTGTGGATAAGTCAATTGATGAGATGACACCGAGAACGCAGAGGTACTTTCGTCTTCGGTCTGGTTCGACTTGCTTGTAGGGAACCTGCTTAAAAAAGGTTCAAAGTGTACCTATGATTGTTCCTACAAAAAAAGAACCGAGTTCACTAAGTCCTTTTTTGGCGCTACTGAAAGTACGGGAACACAGTCTAGCTCGTTATGCACGCTAAACTCTAAACAAGAAATATGTGTGTGTAAGGTGGGTACCAGGCCCGAGCTTTTGGCTAACCTCTAAAGGATTGTGAAACCAGCTACTTTCAGTAACTTCATCCTAGCAACGAGAGTCTTGTCGAGCGAGTTTCTCCCTCTTTCTCTGTGGCTGTGTAGTCTTTGTAAGCAATATAGGGTTGCGTGCAACGAAACACGAAACGCCATAGTAACGTGTCGAAACATAATTTTCCAACAAAAAAAAAAGCAGAGTCATTGCTGTAGCTATACGTTTCTGTACGCGACTGTTTTTGAAATGTTAACGAATTTTTCCTTCTCTCAATCTGGTCCAAGATTATATAAGGGAAGTCTGAGACTTCGAAGTCGGGTTTCAAAATTTCTAGCAGAAAACGTAGTGCCTTCAGGCTAGATGGCACGCGGTTTGTCAGGGACGAATAAGCATCTCAATATCTGTCGACGCCTAGCAGTAATTTGTGTAGGCGCTTAGAAATTTGGCAAGAAAGGAATGCTACGGCACGCAACACAGATATGACAATTACCTGGCCCGTCAAGAACAACGCTTACATAACGGCATCGATCACAACTCATCATTGGCGAAAGTTTTCGGTGAAGGTTATTGATAAACATCTTGCAGGGAAGTCAATGGGTTTATTCTTACTGTTTACTATCTCGAATGGTTCGAAATTGTAATGATGATTACTGTGATTGCAGGTTCGTTAAGCGTGCTATATAATTGTTTGGCGTTTGGAGCGCATAGACACTGTGATAAAATCAAATACTCAACCTTACGCAAAAGAACTCACGAATCTCTCGTGATTGATCATGCGCAGTACAAAATGTCAAACAGATCGGGAATCATTTGGCATGGTCCTGACGATTTCTTAGGTAGTACGCCATAAGCAGACACCTATTCCTTTACACAAATTGCAACGCGAAAGGCGCTGGTCGTTTGACGGATGAGTTACATCTATATGATCTTTCTACTTGATATAATCATTTTTTTTTTAAAAATCCCTTTGAGCCTTTTTTCAGCTTTGCTCAAGGATCTGTGGATTATATGGGCCCAGAATTTTGGATAAGGTTTTCCTCTATGCAGAGGATTTAGTTACACAGGAGCAGTTGCTTTCACGTGCAGCAGACCTTAATTAGGTAACATTCTGTCGTCTCGGAATCGGGACTGACCGTCAGCCTAATCAAAATCGAAGCAATGAGGTTCATGAGAGGTGCTAAGGTTGCAGTTCGTAACACGCTATAACTTTACGGCCGACTGCTGACAAATGTTAGCGGACTTATTTAGAGTTGCCGATCTCGTATAACGGCCAAAGTTTCTTCCACCATGTTATAGAAGGATCTTGATTTCACTGTCTTCAATACTTAGCTTTCACAGATTGTCCCTCTTTGACCGATCTGCGACTTCTTGACCTCAAAGTTGTCGGGATGACCTTATAGTGAAGAATCTAGAGCATTTAAACCGATCAAAAGCCTTCTTTTTCAACATCAGCAACTCAAGCATTCAGAAAAAGCTTGGTAAAGTAGCATCGAAAAAAAAAAAAAGCCACACAGAACTCTATCAAAAGGGGGGATGGTGAATAAAGAGTGGGTTCCACTGTGTAACATACATATAGTGAAGCGCTATACCATCACCTACGCCGAGTACAGGAGTTTTATGAATGATTCTTGCGTCGGTGTTAAATATAGGCAACCTTGCGATCTGTATCATGCCTTTCGCTGCCCACAAATTCAGTCGTTGGTTTGATAACTAACCCGAAAATAGCAGCAGTGAGATGATGCAAAAATTGGTAGGTCCTGAATAGCCCTATGAATTCTAAGTGGATTGTTCCAGGAACACATGAAGCCATCATATAGATGATATAGGATGTCATTTGAAATTTACTATGCTTAATAGTACTTGCTCAGCGAGTAGCAGATGTCCCTAGCATGTGCAGATCCGTGTCCTGATTTTTTGTAAAATAAAGTCCCCTTAAGTGCTGAGACAATTCCTTAATAAAAAAAAAAAAAAAATGAGATAAGCCTTTCAAACCGTGTTACCGATAAGCTGTCGTCAATTGAAATTTTCGGTGGGTTTCGTTTCGAAACATTTGTTTAAACGGGCTTCGAGATCCCTTCAGCTTGTAATGTCTTCGCTTATCTGTAGGGAATGGATAAAATTGTAAAATTTGGCAGGTTCAGAATACTGAAAAATTTCACATTCGAATTTCTGTACGTTGAGTTGTGTTGCGCAATTTTTTAAGCAAAGACTATTAGGTCGCTTTTAGCGATCAGGTCATTTCCGCACACAGCACAGAGATAGATATTGGCTCACTTCAGGAGTGGCTCAAAAAAATTAGAAAATATCTAGGACGTCCGTCTTGTGCGGCTAATGATGATATACTATTTACTTCCAATTAGGAAAGCGACAACGACGCGATTCCTGCCAACCCAATAGGGCCAATACTGCTTACTACGTTATATTCTTGCCATAGATAGATTGCATCTTGGTCATCTTTCTCGTCGCAGATGTATTTGGCCTTTCTGTTTAACATTAATTTATTCAATACTCGATGAAAATAACAAATCTTTTAGATGTGCCTTGAGATATTTCCAATGAACCTGATTAATATGATTCTCAAATTTCGAAAAGTAGATGTTTCGCCCATTTAGGCATTGCGCTTTTGAATTCTCTATACGGTTGATGAAATAGTTGAAACATTAGAGTCATGGAAAAATGGCAGATAAGCGTATTTTTCTAGCGAAATGTGAAAAGTAATGTTTTACAAAAATTTGCCTTCTTTGATGACCTGACCTAATTTTACTGCTGAACATTTAGGCTCTATTGTCTAAACAGTTGGCAAAAAGGACATACGTGAAAAAATTAGCTTTTTTTTTTCCAGGAAAATATAGATTAACAACA